CCCCCCCCCCCCCCCCTCCCCCGGCCCAGCCCCTCGGGCGTCCCCTGCGCCCCCGGCCGGGTGGCTGCTCTGCTTTACCCCTCGGCACGGCCGTTGCGCCCCGGGCAGGCGCTGTGCTGCGGTTGGGAGGGGGCCGTTTATGCGGCCTGCTGGCCGGGGCGCTGGCCTGAGGGACGCCTGGGGCTGAGGAAGTGGCGTGAGAGGACGTGCCGGTGAGGGAACGGCTCTGAGTACCAGATGAGGCGACTCCTGCTCCCAGGGATTTCCGTAGCCCAGAGGTGGGCTGTAGGTACCGAAGTTGCGGGACTACAGCAAGCAGATCCACAAATGGCAGTATTTCTTTTCCTTGGCTGCTTTGATTTGGTGTGTCCTTGTTAAAAAGACTGGCTCCATCTGTTCAGTAGTAGTTTCCTTTTGAAATATCTCTTAAGGTGTTTTGCCAGGAGTATCCCAGTTTGATTGCGTTGGCAAGTGATGATGGAGAGATTTAGAACGGTTGATCAACCTGATGGTGGTATGACTACTGGAAGATTGACTCTGTCTTAGCAAGTATTAGTAACTAGGCAGCATGGGTTTAGACACTTTCACATTGCCTATTTTAAACAGAAGTTTGGTACTGAACTAGAACTTTGACCTTTACAGACTGATTTTTTAGCTTCAGCACAACTTCCCATAGCTGTAGTGGCCATAAATAGTTTACTTTGTTTAGATATTTGTCCTCATACTTCATTTTCTTGCAGAACTTTCTTCTGAGCACAAGATCAGGGTAGGAATTCAGTACTTTGGTTTATATAAATAATTCTCTTTCTTTGTTTGTTTTGGAAACTGTTTTCTGACAGCTATGAAATTTCTGTTGGTTTTTGATTTTGACCATACAATCGTAGATGAAAATAGCGATACCTGGATTGTGAAATGTGCTCCTGAGAAAAAACTTCCTAATGGATTAAGAAACTCCTACCAACCAGGACATTGGACAGAATATATGGGCAGAGTCTTTGTCTACTTGGGAGACAATGGCGTCAAAGAAGATGAGATGAAAAGGACTATGACAACAATTCCTTTCACTGCGGGAATGGTAGATCTTCTGGGTTTTATTGGCAAGAACAAAGAGTTGTTTGACTGCATAATTGTTTCAGATTCTAATACAGTATTTATTGACTGGATTTTGAAAGCTGCTGACTTCCATAAAGTGTTTGATGAAGTGTTTACAAACCCTGCAGCATTCAGCAGTACTGGCTATCTTACTGTACAGAACTTCCATGCTCACCATTGTGCGAGGTGCCCTAAAAACCTTTGCAAAAGGAAAGTTTTAAAAGAATTTCTAGATAAGCAGTTGGAGCGAGGAGTAAGTTATACACAAATTGTATATATAGGTGATGGTGGGAATGACTTATGTCCAGTAATGTTTTTGAAGAAGGATGATATTGCTATGCCCAGGCAGGGGTATACCTTGGAGAAAAAGATTTCTCAGCTGGCCCAAGATCTCAGTCCTGTAGAGTGTTCTGTTCTGGTTTGGTCATCTGCTATTGACATCATATCTTATCTGAAGCTGCTTATAAAGGAATAATTCAAATGATAAGAGGAAACTAATATAGCTAAATTTTATCTTTCTGGAAGAGAAAAACTGCATGTGTATGAAAGCTTGTAAATTGTAAAATCAGGCTATTAGCTGAACTCATGTTTTTTAAACACAGTATAAAGCTGTTTATGTTCAATCTTGGCAATAGTGGGAAAGTGAAGTTAAAATGGCTTTCTAACATAGTACACATTCCAACATAAGTGCAGAAAGGGGGTTGCAAGAGGAATTGCCATTATTCTTAGTCTTCCCCCTCCCTCCCCCGAGCCTTTACTGACTACATAACGGACCTTTTCTGTTCCATGCACTAAGGGGAAGGAGTAGGATTGAAATGCTTTACTTACAAAGCATTAGGTGCCGGGAGCTTCATTCTGGAACTGTTGTTGGCTTTTATACTTCTTTGATCAGGATAAATGTTTAATTTTGTAAATTATTAGGTATGCTTATAATCCTGTTTGATCTGAAGATGCATTTATATTTTCAATATACTAAATATTTTACCAAACTAAATTAGTTTTTATTAGTTTGTATTATCTTGTATTGTAAAGACAATAAAAGTTACTGTCACTGACAAAAGCAACACACCTGATTTGTGTAATGTATTCTGCTGGCCTGTGTCACCTGTTCCTGTAAGGGCCTGGAGAGAGTGAACACAAGTGTAAGTGTGGGCCTTCAGCTAACACCTTCATTTAGTCAGACCCCTTCTCTTCTGGAGAGCAGTAAGGATCTTTGTGTTCTGTTTAAAGAAAAGTCACTCTCCCATTCTGACTACCGCCCTGACAGCGTGCTGCTGCCGCTCCATATAGAGCTAGCGCTGGTTTGATCTTCCACGCTGACAGCTCTGAGTCAGCCAGGTGCTTTTTTCTTGCTGGGTTTCTGCTGCAATGCACAGCCCACAGAATCATGCATAGGTATACATGTTTGCGCTGCTTTTACCTATTTACTCTTGTCCATTTCTATAGTATAATCCTTTCTTAAAGGCTGGAAAGGAACATCTGTGCCCATTTTAACTTTTCAACAGAATTGTTCTGTCTTGAAGTAGTTGAAGGAATCATTTGTGAACATGCAGTCTTTCTCTTTACCACTCACAGTGAGATGAGCTCCAAGAGCTGGGCTATGCATATAGAGATAGTAAAAATAAGTCTTATTAATAAATGTATTTAGTCCTTCTTATAGTCCCACAGAAAGTCCAAAACGGTGATGTAGTCTGCTATTGAACTGATGTCTGTTTTAGCTTAAGTGCCTTAATAACTGAGAAATTAGTTCAGCTTTTGTAGCACTTGGATTGTGGATGCCTGAGGTGTAGCTCAGCAGCCTGCGATTGCTGTAGCTGGCTTCCTCTGTTTCCTGTGCAGCGTTAGTCTCATTTTCTTACTGACATTTGATGTTCTCGCTACCTTCTTTTTCTCAGTTGAAGATTTTTTAGGAGCAGTCTTGCATGTTTTCGGGCTGATAGTGTATATAAATTAAGATTTCCTTTGATTACTTCCTTGTAAATGATCCTGCTTTTAGCCCTTCAACTATTTTAATGAATTGTAGAAGGTTGCTTTGAACAGTCTATTGTCCAAGATGTCCAGAATAAAAGAGAGCATTCTCGGGAGCATTGCTTTAACCTGGTTATTTGAAAGGTGCCTGAGATGTTTGTATTGGAGATCTTATTCTACTGTCTTGTGTAAAGGCACAAAAGACAGCATCTGAAGAACTGGTGGGGCTCAAATTATCACAGGTTTCAGTCGTCTCATTTACAGGTCATATAAAAGAATGGTAGTGGCTGTTGCATAGTACAATTTTGTATGGTTATTTTTTAACAAAAAAAAAAAAAGTTGTGTGTCTCCCTTCATTCTAGATGTGCTGCTTAATGTTCCAGATTCTGTGCTGGTATCTTCTGTGCTTTTCAGAACTTAGTTGTGAGACAGCTTGCTTTCAGTTTGTCCAGAGATCTCAGTTACTGCTTCCTTTAAAACAAACAAACAGTATATGAATAATTATTCAGCTTTTTCTTCCACTTACATTAATTATTGTTCTTTTAGCCTTAAGGAACGTACCTTGTAGTATGCTGTGAGAATTAGAAATTGACTGAGAAATTAATCTTCATGCTCAAAAAGGGGTGTTTTTTGTGGTTTTGATGAAAGTACCAAAGTAGGAGTTCAAAGTAGATTAAGCAAAGTAGACTACTTGCAATATTAGCAATTATGATCTAATCACTTCAAGTAAAGGGTAGAGCTGATGCTATTTGCTGGGCAAGTGCATGTTGGAGACAGAAGAAATTTTAAATTTCCAGTAGGTAGGCCATTAAGCTATTAATACAAGGACTTGGGATTTTTTTTCCCCTCTTAATAGAAGAGAGAGCCTTTCTGAAACACCACAATTACCAAATTTTTCAACATTTGGCTCTAAGGGAGGGGAGATGAGTGCCTCCCAAGGGTGAAGCTGGTTTAAGCTGGTAACCCAGCCAAAAGAGAAAAGGAGAAGCTCCATGAAGGGATGCATGTTCAGTACTTAGTGTTGCTGACCTCCAGACTTGCTGGCAGTTTGAATCCACCGGATCTCTGGGAGGGAGATGACTTAGGTAAAGATGTTATGAAAGGAAATGCGTAATGGGAGGCGTATGTGTGCATGGGAAATTTTCTGTTTGGTAATAGGTGTGCTGTTGTACACCAGCTACTACGAAGAGTATAGTATTATGTGCTAGTAGGATGGGTAAGACCTAGGAGAAGTTCCTGCTTGTCCGTAGGGAGCTGATGAAATGGAAAGTGCAAAACCACAGCAAAACAAAGCTGTTGGCATGGGAATGTAGAAACAGACACAGACTCCAGGGAAAGAAATAGACTGAGAAAGGGACAGGCCCAGGTCAGAGACAGCCGGGCTGCTGCTAATTCCTGGGTTACACCACAAAAATCCGATTCCCTGGGCTAACAGTGCATTGAGTGGTTGAAAAATTGAAGGCAAATATGTGTGAAGGGTTTGGGGTTTTTGTTTGGATCAGCTTATTTATGTCTTGTGTTACTACATGAAGGCCAAGGGCGAGTTTGAGGCCTGTTGCACAGTTAGCATGTGGGGGAGGATGGCAGAGGGGTATGTCCACGTACACTTCCCAGTTCAGATTCCTTCTTTAGTTCATGCTAAAGGATCTGTGCAGAGCAGGAGCTCTCCTGTTGGGTGTTGCTGGCACTTAGCTAACAATAACAAGTATCTGCCTCCTTTTGGTAGGAGAAACCACTGCCAGTCCTTTTGATCCAGGAGAGCTCTGGCAGGGCTGTGGGAGCCCGGCTGCTGGATCCAAAGGATCCAAACGGTGCTGCAGGTGAAGGAGGGAGTGCAGCTGCTTAAGCCCAGAGGATGCTGTGCTTCAAATATTTTTAAAGGCCTCCATTGCAGAAAATGTTTTGTTAGCAGAGATGAAGAAGACTAGTTAAGTTGTGAACCGCATTTTCAGAAGTGGTAAAAGCCAGTATAACCTTCTTCCTGAATAATTTGCTTTTAGTTGGAGTCTTATTTGTCAGAATAGTTTGTGACTGTCCCTTGCACCCTGCCAGGTTCAGGTGTCTGAGGAGAGCTCTGGCCACCCCCCCTCTTGAATCCCATCTTTCTGCAATGGAGGAGCCCCTGGAACGCGCTGCCCTTCCCAGCATCGCTCCTCCGAGCGCCTGGGAGAGCGGGGTGCCCCTGCGGGAGGCGGCTGCAGGTCGCCGTTAGTGGCAGTGCGAGGACCCCCCTCGTTTAT